TCACTTAGGAGCTTGACAACAAAGCATTGCATCTAAAGTAATATCTGTTAACTCCAAATGTTTCAACATAACAAGATTCTAAAATGGGACTAGTCCCCAAATTTATTCTTATTAATTTTTCCTTCTATCTTTTTTCCTGGCGGCATTCTCTTATAAGGTGATCATTGTTAATGAATTGGACCTACGAGAATAAGGCATTGTCTGAATTCCATTTATTGCACTTATCACTCCATGGCCAGCCTTACTGCAAATCATATTTCGTTTGCATATAAAGATATGTAAGGATGGCTATTACTTAATGATTTTCATTATAAATGGTCTCTTAGGCACTCAATGGTACGGTGCAGAAATCTATGGAGCGTGGATTATTTAACTGCCATGATTGCTGTAGATGACTTTATGAAAGACAACTATATATGTTTTATAACAGTTTAAGAGAAGCAATACCGTCATTACAAGGATGAAATACATCCGGAATCTGAAATGTTCTATTTGTTTGTAGGCGTAGTTCCCTAAAATTTCATAAATGCATCCAACAAAGACTCTTTAAAACAGATGATGGGCTGAAGGAAATGAATTTCCTCCCAATATCGATGATGTCCAGGCATCTGAAGTCAACAAACCGTATGATCAAGGCGTTTTGTTCAGTACTTATCTTTATTCAGGCCATACCAAAATTCTTTGATGAGAAAATCAATGCTCATTTTATATGGCATAATTAAGGCGTATTATTTTGATTGAGAGATTTTTGGTATAATCCACAAAACGTCCTCCGAAATTTAAAGACATCGATTCATCAACTCTTTCAACAGACGTTAATTCATGCAGAATCATCCCTATTGAAAACGCCCGAGATCATCCTACAAAAAACAATGAATAGACGTTATCTTATTTGTAGTTTGCATGGTAAAGTGACTTCTTTTTCTAGGACATCAAAGCACATTTATAACATTCTTAGTACAGCTGGATGCCCTTCTAAAAACGTTAATAACATTCATGATACTAAACAATAGTAGATCTGAAGGATTCCTCCAAAGCACATACTGTTATTTGTACAAACAGATTCGATTCTTTACAAAACAAGCTTCCGTTAGATTTTGATGCATGTTTCATATGCATTCAAAGAGAAAAAAAAATGGAATTTCAAATTCTGCTTTATTAAACTAAGGTTTCAATTGTGACCAAAAAAAAAAAAAATACTTATTGTTTGATTTTTGGAGCGTATCTTACGATGTGAACACGACACACCCGTACCTTGAATTATTTGACATGACGCTTTTTATTATGAGTATGTCAAATTGTATTGTGTACCTTACCAATACAAACTTAAATTATGGTTAATACATTTAATAACCATTTGGGAGTATCCTCACGAAATATTTACAAAAACGTCTTTGTTCGAGTATTTATCCTCGTTTTTCCACATTACATCAATTCGGATGTAGTAAACGGCGGCTGACATCTGGTAACTACACATCGTCAATCAAGTTCATTTTAATAAATTTATCTGTACTTCTGATCTGCGAAAGGTAGCAATTTTGTATTGGGATAAATAGGAAACCCGTCACTATCTCGACTAGACTTATTTATTCTACGTACTAATTATTTTCAATACAAATCACCTCAGTCAAGGGTTGTGTGTTGCAATGCGTTTAAATTCCTTTTGCCATTGTTTCGCAATGCATTTAGCAAAATCACCTTTTCTCCTCATTTAAAAATAAAGAAAAAACGTTTTTTCCAACAGTATTAAAACAAGGAGAGAAATTAATTGTGCACGAAATTACTGATAAATAATGGGTTTATCGGTTCAATAATGGCAATTTGGACACGAATAAAATTGGACCGCTTTGTTCAAAAGTGACACAAAACGAGAGAGAGGAAAGTCCGAGGCTGACACAGTGTACATCAACCTAACTAAATAGGTTAACTGCTGACAAACACGAATGCCGAATCATCGTACATAAATAAAAATGATTTTTTTTGTTTTATTTTCGGATATTCATCAATTTCAGGAATGGGAAATTGCTCAAAGAAGTTACTGAATAATTTCTTTCATAGCTGTAAAATTCAACTATGCAAGTTCATATAAATACCTCTTTATCCACTGAATGCAAAATTAAAAGAATTTATCAAAATACAGTCACCAGATATTCAGAAAGGAAAAAAAAACATTGCTTATATATAAACTAGATAAATTCTGAGCAATATTTCCATTATGCCATAGCCAAAGGCATCACTCATTTAGGATTGGTTAAATATTTAAATGTACAATTCAGCGACCAGTTCGCTTTGTGTTAATGAAAGGAAAGCAATTAAAAACTTTCGTCAATACTCTTAATGAGAATGTAATAAATAAATCGCCATCAATAGCAGAGAATAATGTATATGTAACGAGGGCAAATTCATCATCTCTTGACCGTAAATTTATGATGCGGTAATGGTCGTATCTTCAGTAGCAACAAGAGAAATACAGTTCTGCTATAAATCATTGCAAATTCCTTGGGACATTCCACAAAGAATCGAACAAATTGGTCTGATTGAGATATTTAACTGGTATATAAGAGAGAGTCCGTATATGTATTTGATATAATTTTATAGTATCTTTTAAAACGAACAACTCTAAAAAAAAAAAAAAAAAAAAAAAAAAAAAAAAAACAAGATGTGTTTGTGAAAAACTGATGCCCCGTATGGCAATTAACTTATAGCAAAGGTTAAACTTTTTCAAATGCAAATCAAATTTGTTGGTATCTAAAGTAAGGTATTGTCCCGAGAAAAATATACCTGCGAAATATGAAAACCCTAGCAGCAGCCATTGAAAACATATGGAAAAGGTTAAAAAATTTTCAAAAGTAAGTCAAACATCAAGGTCAAAATTAATGGTGCTCAAGGAAAGGCCTTCTCACAAGAAATACACAAGTGAAATATGAAAGCCCTAGCACCAACCGTTTAAAAGATATTGCCAAGGTTAAAGTTTTTCAAAAGTAGGTCAAACTTGTAGGTCAAGGTCAAAAGGGTCAAAGTTGTTGGTATCCAAAGGAAGGTCTTGTCACAAGGATTACACATGTGAAGTATGAAAGCCCTAGCACCAATTATTCAAAAGTTATGGTCAAGGTTAATGTTGGGTAAAATTTTGTAAAACTGGGTCAAACTCCAAGGTCAAGGTCAAATAAGATGGTACCCAAAGAAAGGTCTTGTCACAAGGAATACACATGTGAAATATAAAAGCCATAGCTCCAACCAATCAAAAGTTATGGGCAATGTTAAAGTTTTTGCGGACAAACAGATAAACAGATCTAGACAAACAGACAGACAGACAGATGGACGGACAGGGCAAAAACTATATACCCCCGAACTTCGATACGGGGGCATAAAAAATCAATAATTATAGATTGATTGATTTGTTCTGGATACAGAGAACATATTACTTCTTATGATAAAATTTGATATACACATGTACTTATTCACAATGACAATTATAACATACTTTTTTTTAGTTGCAATCCATACTAAAGATTTTACTTTATTTCAGAACAAGGGATTTGTACACAGGCACTTGTTTCTGTAATTTAAAAAAAAAAACTATGTTGTATGAAAGAGCAAAATTTAAAAGTAGGTGGGTTTAAAAATTCAATTCCAATGTTTAAATATTGCAAAGAATAAATCGAATTTGTTCACGTTTTATTTTCCATTAAAAAACACAATTACGATATTCTTCCGATGTAATTTTAGGAACATTTTAGCCAATAAAAATCCAAGAACACATTCCGCCAGAGATTAGTATAATTATACTTCGTTTTTCACGAATTTTCAAATAGGCAAGCAGGATTTCGACGCTGTTTAGAGAGACAAAAGAAAATAAAGACGATGAAGCCATATATGGTTGCGTAGATAGAGAATGGTTCTAAACAGATTGCCAGTGCGTTTTCTATGAAAGTGTAAATGACTGCAATTTTGGGGAAAGGGTACCGTACGTAATTCGGAGTAACGATACCTTGTGATAGAATTATTCTATGGGATAAAAATTAATTACATAAACAAATGCCTGCATGAACATTTGTACCGAATATGGTAACGATCTTGCACAAAATATGAAATTAAATTTATTGCTTTGAAAGAAGTAGGAAATTTGTCCTTATATTAATATCTAGATGCTTTTACACTGATATGATTAAAATGTATATGAATATTCGATGTAAACTGTATAATTTTTAATATTGCCTTTGAGAAGATTCTTCTGCATGACATATAATCGCTAAAACACTGTTGAAAGCCTATAAATCCAACATTTTGTGTTACACTGTGATCAGTATTGACATAATGATCTCTTACAATGTTTTGAGGGCAATTTACTGCTGCTACAATCGTTCACAGCTTCTTTGGTCTGTCTTCATACCCCCGTGACGCAAACTAATGTCTTTGTAAACAGAACTGCACTGGAAAACATAGCTTCAATTAGACAAAACAAGGAATTAACTCAACTTTGAAGGGCTAAGAAGTATCAAACCACTAAAATTCACGGAGCTAAATAATATAACCATCACATTGACACGTGATAGTTGTTAATCGAACACTAACGGTTTGATTTGCTCTAACATACATGTGCCGTCAATAACTCTTTCGATGGACAAAGTATTCAATCCAGTGTCTAAAGAATTGATCAGGTTGCTTTATTATGAGCTGAAAATACGACACAACCTTGTGATCTTGATCTAACTATTAATGACACATTTATATGGTTATCAATTCTATTTGTGGCTATAGAAACACATCCAATTTGTTATGAAGTTTTCAGATGTGTCTTTACATTCTAAAAATGGACGGCCATTAATATTTTTCTTTTGTTCAGACACAACTATTATCAAGAAATTTCAAAAGAAGCCAAGTCACTCAATGTCCAGGGAATTCCTCAGACTAGAAAAAAAATATTGTAAACACAGAACTACTGCTGTTTTGTAAATGTTTTGTATCTCTGTTCTAATGAACTTTGGTTCTGTTTTCAGTTGATGAAATAAACGATGACATTCCAGTAGACAAACGATCTGTTCGGTTATGTAAAGGACATCCTAATGTGCTGCAGTGTATACGGTCTTATTTCTCAAGCAGATTTAAACTTATGCACCGTGCTGTGAAAGATCCGGTAGACCTACGTAATATTGGAAAACGCGGGAAAAGGTTTTCAGGCCAGATAGCTGTAGAAGTTCCACAATGGCGTCTGGATCGACTGAATAGTTTGTATAAAGCCATGATTAAGAAGGCTGCAAGTGATTTTCGAAACATTGGAAAGAAACGAGCTGCAGATGATTTCAAGAGCGTCAGTCGTAGAAGTATTGCTGCCGATTTCAGAAACATTGGGAAAAGATATTATGGTGCAGACTGGAGGAATATCGGCAAACGACTCTCTGGAGACTTCCGTAATATTGGTAAAAGAAGTTTTGCCGCCGATTTTAGAAATATAGGAAAAAAAAGTTTTGCCGGCGATTTTAGAGATATAGGAAAACGAAGTTTTGCGGCAGATTTTAGAAATATTGGTAAAAGACGCTATGCAGCAGATTTCCGAAATATTGGAAAACGACTTGGAGTTGACTTCCGAAATATTGGAAAAAGGACACTATCGAATTTGGATAATGACATGGCTTTAGATGACGAAATTTTGACTTTACTCTGCCCGGACTCAATTTCTCTTGTAGAATGTTCAGATAGAATTGCTATCAACGCATAATTTTTGACATATATAGTGAAAAAAAAAATATAAAAAATACAAATAAATATAGATAGTAATATTTTATACAACTGTCCAGATACTTGTATATTATTTATTATATGAAACAAATTTGAAGAAATGGATTCAAGTAACATTTTATTTTTTATTACATCTTTCATGAAATTTTACGGAAATAAATAATAAGTCGTTACAAGTAATGATGTAATGTTTCACCTCTCTCTCTCTCCATTTGAGTGAAAAATTCTCGAGAGGGACGTTAAACAACAATCAAACTCTCTCTCTCTCTTTCAATTTAAATGCTCAGCATCCCCGTTTTTAGGTATGACTGAATCCTTTTGAGATTTTTCAGTATTTTAGCTAATAGATTGAAGATTTTATTAACAAATTAGATTTGTGTAAATTGTTTCCTGTAAAACAATTTGGAACAGATGTATTACACCTGAAGCTTTTGGAGGCAATAAAGGCAATGAAAGTTAATATACGATTACAGTATCATAGATTTGTTTGTTAGAGCTCATTGTGTATTAACTGAAATTTAGAGATCTTTAGAAAAATCAATAATCATCTAATCATAGTTTTCCCCAAACACAAGTGCTCCATATTCATATCGTATATTTTATATTGCATTTTACAAAATGTAAAGGGTATTACACAAATAGTATCAATTTTTTTTAGAATCTCTCAAGACTCATAAAAAACAATGGACGTGTAATATGAATGATTTAAAGGGGCCAGGACACAGTTGTATTGTTCACATTTTAAATTTCTATCCTTATTCAAAAACTAAAACCAGCTGAATGAATTGAACTTACATGAATATTCTTAGAATTCAATGACGACATTCTTCTTAATTTACATCAAACATCTGTTTCTTTAAACAGGGTATGAGCTCTTTTATTGTTAATGTTTACGTTTCACCGGGTGTGTTCAATCTGTTAAACTCTGCACACATTATTGAGCACGGACTGACAATACTTGTGAGTTGGTTGTGTTTTCTTGCATTTGTACTCTGAGTTTTCAGGATTATTGTTTTAATATTTTTCATTAATTCACAACAAAATTTCTACTTTTCTTAAGTATTAAGGATAAAGTTTACTTTGTGAAAGCGCAAGGTTGTGTCAATCAAACCGTCCTGAAATTCGGAGTTTCAATAATTTCCAGATAAAAGAAGTTTCTGAACACGCTTTCATTATATTTCCGTGTGAAATGCTATAGCAACATATGTCATGATATTATACAGAAATATGAGAAAATATTAACTTCAAATGTGTGTCCAGGCCCTTTAATAGAATATTAGTAATAAACAGATGATAACAGTTTACTTACTTGCTTGAAATGGTATTTTTCTTAATTATTATTTTTTTTGTGCATACATTGTGTGAACTTGATTATCTCATGAACTAGTAGTTAAAGTGAATCATATACATGTATATCCTGCGAATTTATAGGTGACAGTTTTTCACAATCAATACCTAGATTAATTTATTTTAGTTATTCATGGATATCAGATACGATTTCACTTCAGCCTCAAGTCAGACATCAACCTTTACTAAAGTACACTATCAGATTACGACGGATTCATATATAAGAAATAAAAACTGTATTTTTTAAAAAAAATTATAAAAGTAGGTAGTATATTAAATTAACATCATTACTGTTAAATATGATTATGTTTTACCTGGGATTTGTCCGGCTAAGTACTAGAGTATCCAATGTATATCAGATGTATATGTATATAAATATCATGGTGTAAACTTTAAATCTACTGGGTGAAGGTAAATACAATAATTATATCCTGTTATAAATTTAGTATTTACATGAAAACCTCCACTCAGTAAATTTAAAATTAACATCATATACAAAATGATCCCAGCTCTTTGAAATTAGAAAGTAGATACATGTATATCAGTATGACAAGAAGGCCCCCGCTGATTTGCAATTCGTAAATATATGAAAGTCCAAGGATATAAAAATAGCAAGTTTAATAAAAACAAAATTAGAACACCATTTGTTTTATTGAATCAGTTGTCGATACCACAACATACATCAGCAGTGGTTATCACCTACAAACATATTCTTCCAAAATGTCAAGAAAACGGCGAATAATTAATAATTTTCAAAGTCTAAGGGCAATAACTTGCTTTAAATGGGTCAATTGACGTGGCATTCGAACATCAATAAAATGGCACATACCAACAATCATCTCATTGTCTATAAAAACAGCAAACAAAAACCTCTCCCGGTATAAAAATTGATCGTATCGGATATGCTCTTGCGTATCGAATCAGTTAGGAGACATAAACACCATACGCGGGTGTTAGAAGTCAGAACATTAGCTGCTAATTTAAATAGGGAAAATTGACGATATTTTTTGTTATTTTACTATTAAGGTCAGTAAAACATCCAAGTATGAAACATGTGGCACAAGAGAAACAAGAGAAGTTTAATTTTTTGATGAAAATGTTACTTCTCAAAGAACGCAGACAAACAAACAAACCGTCTCTTGTTGTTTGCCAGCTGTCTAAATTGTTGAAGGCATAAACAGGGCATTTAAAATAAAGAAGAGTCTCCTTTAATCGGCTTTATAAGTCTGATTTACTCTGTATGAAATATATATATATAGGATCTCCCATGATTTGTAGTTGGATATGATTTTTATCCAACGAGTTGTGGGTTTTTTATACCCGAGCCTTGGCGAGGGGATAAAAACACACAACGAGTTGGATAAAAGTCATATCCAACTACAAATCATGGGAGATTCTTTTTATCCCATGTTTAATACTTCACAACCAATGTTTTAAACTGTTTTATAGAGAACTCCACTTTATTTTACTTCATCACTCTAACGCAAAAACCATTGTGGCGTCACAACTGCACTTAACTGTGGAATATGAAAAAATTATCCTATGAGTCATATCCACGGGATAAAGGGGTAGACATGGTATAAATGGAGATAACGAACAGTATTCAAGCTCAAAAGGCCATTAAACAATACAAAATAGGAACAGAGCAAACACGGACCTCCAAAACATGAGGTGGGATCAGGTGCCATGGAGGAGTGAGCATGAAACAGGAATTTTTTACTTGTAACTTGTATCACATGATGATGTTATATCACAAATCGATCTTTACTCCACTTTCTCTATGACGTCCTATACACACACACCCTCCCTCCCTCCCCCACACACTTACCCCCTATACTGCATCCATTGGATGTATTTATGTACTTTTCATTTCAGCATATTTCATAAGAAGCTAAATTTTTTACGATGACTGGAGCAATGAAGGAGATGAGAATGACTCAAACAGCAAACATTTTATGAAATCTCACACTTCTGCCTAAAATGGGTATATTGCTGGAAATTAGAAAAAAATGAGTTATTCATGTATAGTAGGAAAGTATGCGCAAATATCAAAAGATTCGCTCACCGTCTATAGAACTCTAATTGTTTTAGTTTCAGTTCTGCTGTACGCTATGACTCCAGACGATAGAGTAGGTTGATGTAATACATTTCACATAACGTCACTACACGTGACGTTAATTAAAAGACATTCCACACTTGTTGTTCCACATGGGATTTTAAGTAATGGGAGAACATTTGTTCTACATAGAACTCATCTGTCAATTAATGTAAGAATTATCTACATCTTACATTCATACATTTGGATGAATCTTAGCATGTCTTACAGTCAGAGTGTGTTCTCTGTAGTAATCTTAATTCAAGCGTAAGGCCTGTTTTGTAACTATTTCAAATGGAGTAAAACAGAGCTATTAGCAAGTTTAATATGTCAGGACGAGCTGACTTTTTTCCGTTTACATAAAGGGGCAATAATGGAGATAAAAGCAGAGTAATTATAAGCAGCTACTATTTCAAATTATGCCAAAATTCAAACTTTCAGAAATTTACCTTCTTGTTTCCATGGCATCGGCAGCTATCTTGGAAATTTCAAACTTGCGAGAAAATTGCATGTAGGACATATGTGTAAGTAGCACAATAACAAAGTATCGACAGACTTCGTTACGGGTGACATATACGAGTAGTAAAAAAACACTAAAGAAGAAATTTTGCAGTCAAGTTCTTACTAATAGAAATAAATCGGGACCCATGTCTAGAAATCTAAGACAATCAGGATAAGAGATACGATTGGTTTATTTGTAAATGTTAATGCAGTAAATTTCAATTGTTGTTATGTGTAACATTTAAGTGTTACAATTCAGACAAAAAAAAATTGCAAAAACGTCAATTTAAGTAAAGGTCAACATCCTTTAAAAATATCATAAATCGGCTATAACAATTCATTAATCTTTTAAACGTCTACTTTATTTATTATATTCACAAAAAAATTTCAGTTCACAGCAAATCTGTAATAGTTGTCACTGAATTAATTATCAACATAAAACGCAACTTTAAATAACTACTGTTAAATTACTTCAAACTATCATTGATTTTGGTTAAATTCCAATAAATTACTTCTTTGTTCTCTGAGCTTTAATGTCTTCGAGGCAAAGTCATTAGATCGTAAGATTCTTCTTATGTTAAACAAAGAATAATGATATCGATCTAAAAGTTTTCGTTTAATCTTCATAATCTTTGGGAAATGTCAGTCTCCACAAGACAAAGACCTCAAAGAGTGGGATTTACTGCATTAGTATACATTAAAAAAATGGTTTTAAAGAAAAATGACGACACTATTTCTTTGCATCGCAACAGTACACCTTTTAAGGACAACATTTAACCTTTGAGTGTAACGGTTTGGAAAACTGCCGAACCTCAAATGAAAGGGTCATGTTTCCATGTCGATATTTTTCCTTCGTCTTCGTTTTCTAAATGGAAAATCCCAAACATTTTGTTCATTTTTTGGTGTCCGGCGACAAAATTATTTATATATTTAAAAAAATGTGGCTTTAAGCTGAGAAATCAAACTTCGTGTTCTTTTATCGTATCAAATAAAATGTTTCATCGATATTGCAAACTGGTTATCTGAAAATGCCAGAATTACTGTGATAGATATTGCTAAGACACAGAACATATCATCGTCACAACAGTTTACAGAGTTCTGACAAATGAAATAAATGTAACAATAATTCTATCATATGGGTGCCTTATTTCCTTA